GACAGCTTTAAAAATATAAATCAAAGCTATAAAGGTTACAAAGTAGAACGGATACTCTAGGCAGGGAGAAGTTGGATTGTTCCTCAGCAATCACACTGCAAGCAATTTCTCATGAGAGCTCTTGACAGTGCCAGGGGGTCATTTAGGGAGCACCCCTACAGCCAAGTTCCTGAAGCACACTCACACAACCAGTCCGGGGGGGGGGGGGGCATACTCAGCTATTGCACTCTGAGTACCAGGTGACACAACAGATTAGAAAGATGCTTTGTTCCTGAACCAAAAATTTATCTACGACCCAGGCTTTGTAGACTGAACAAAGAAAGTGTAGTTGTAAACTGCAAACTTGAATATGCTGGAGACTGGCTCCATCTGAGCAAGACTGAAACACTGCAGGGATCTTTGCATTAATAGTTCTAGAATCAAAATATATGGGAAGTCCATGATTGCCTCTCCCAACTTTTTATTTTCACTGAACGGCAACCGCAAAGAGAGAAATATTAAATAAACACATACATCTCTGCTGCATGTAAGGGCCACAGCCCACTGGAACATTTCAGTTACAAAAAGAGTGGTGTGAGCTCTAATCAGGTACCTCGCCTAACATGTTATTTAGCCCAGAATATACTGTTTTTACAGAGCAACAAAACACTTCCACTCCTTATCAAATGGAACTTTGAGACTGGTTTGTCAGACAAAGAAACTGACGTGTCTGCTGAAATGTCAAGCTGGAAAGATCCAGTCAGTACAAAGGAACTGTGTTTAAGTTTTGCTTTGGGTGTTAGCTTATTTATTTTTGAAGCTATTCTATCCTGAAAGAGGGCACCAATACTAATAGAAATTTCTGGCCAGCCAGAGTGCTAGACAAGTCCAAAAAAATGCACACAAGCCATCTGATTACCTAAAAGAATGTTCAAAATCTCTTGCTAATTACTGGAACCCTCCCAAGGAAATAAGGCACAAAACTTATCTACTTTAGTCTTCTTAAGTGCTAATCATACATGCCATACTACACGGTAGAAGCATATGTAAAGAACCCTGTACATGGATCTAATTTGTGTTGTGGACACAAACACACCCATGTGTAACTAACTACAAAAACATGTCTCCAATTTCTGTATGAAAAGGATATATCAATTTTTAAAAAGTTGGGTTGCTTAGGTCTGTATTCACCTACGGGGAAACTTTTGTGAGTAACCCATCGTTGGAAATATGGCAGGTATATGCAATGGGGGAGCTCCAGGTATGGAAGGTCCCGCCGAAGGAGGTTTACATAACATCATCCTTATAGAAGTTCTGGTGGCAAATGATAAACTTAATTCAGTGAGCTTTTATTTAAGTCAGAGATGCAGCTCTTTTAATGCCTGGTGATGCTTTTACTAATTTTGTGTCTTATTGTGAACCACTCAGAGAACTTCACTCTGGAGCAGTATATAAATATAATCAATTAAATAAATAATGCGTGGGCATGTCACAACTTTTCATCCTAGTCTACCATACGGGGCCGTTGAAAGGCTAAGAATGATAGAATTTCATGTACGCCATCCTGAGCTCCTAAGAGCAAGGGAGGGAGGGAAATGTATAGGACACAACTTGAGATCCCTAGTGACGCCTGCCAGAGGTGACCCAAAGCACCAGGTTTGCAGCTCTCAACATCTGGCTTTGACATACATACTCTGGAATGCAGACTGACAGCCGTTTCCATTTTCTAAATTAATGGTTTTAACCAAGCACTTCTTAACAATGTGCTTAAAGGGAAATGTCAAGAACTAGGCTTAAGAACATTAACTGTATGTTCACTTTGATTATCTGACGGAGGGTGCCAGGAGCAAAACAGCAACAGGTATTTTAACAAAATGTACTTATTCTATTTAGTTAGTACATCTGTATCCCCACCTTTCCTCCAATGAAGGCTGGTGTACATCATTACCTTCTCCTTCATTTTATCCTCACAACAACTCTGTCAGGTAGATTGGGCTGAGAGGAAAAAAAAATAACTGGGCCAAGGAAACCCAGCAAACTTCCACAGCAGAGTGGGGATCTGAAGTCAGACTTCTTCAGTCCAAGTCTGATACTTTAAACACTGCACCATAATGACCCTTCAGTAAAAAATGTGATATAGACCCTGTGTCCCGGCTGATCCACGACACCCTGAATATTATTCAGATTCCTAGGCACCATCATGGAAGGCTCACAGCCCAGCCTTACATATGTTTACTCAGAAGCAAGTCCAATTGAACTTATTGGATACATTTGTCCATGAGCTTCAGATTTCCAAGTGACTGGGTTTTTTAAGCTCTAGTTATAAATCCTGAAGTCATTGCAGACAGTAGTCAACAGACACTTCATTACTCATGAGTAACAAGGTAACTTTGGAATGCTGTAAACAGAGAAAAGGATCCTGGGACAGGCAAGACATTGAGCATGAGATGGATCCCATAGCTGCAACCTGTGGGGCATGGATATTGCAAACTCTGCTGCTCTCCCGAAGACTGACAGTTGCTGTATTGGGCAAGGTGAATCTCCAAGAACTAAGACTTTTTGGTCACCTATCTTATTAGAAGTGCACCAGAGAACCAAATTCCTGTATAATCTGTATTTTTAACTATTTTTTCCCTAAAACAACATTTCGAAATAACCAGATATATAAGGAAACAGCTACATGAGGAAAAGAAGAGCCTCAGGATGAATGAGAGTACAGTATAAAGGTAGGTTACATAGTTTTAAAAGAGCTGTTATCCTTCCTTTTTTATCCTTATTTCTCTAATGCATTTACAAATCTAACACCGATTTCTCACAAGCCGCTGCTCCGCCCTCGCGTTTCCCTTTGCCCCGATCACATTAGTTAATTTCCCACTACTTGCTGTGCGGGCGCATTTTGCCCCGCAGCTTCGCCCAATTTCCCCCACATCTACTCAATCCTGTTTTTTGAGGATCCAGTAGATGCGGCGGAAATCGGGTGACACTACGGGGCAAAATGCGCCCGCGCAGCAAGTTGTGGGAAATTGACTAATGTGATCGGAGCAAAGGGAAACGCGACAGTGGAGCAGCAGCTTGTGAGTCTAACATTAACAACATCAGCAAAAAGCAGCATCCGTGCCTTTGCTCCTCTTCAGAACTCCCAGTTTGGTGGCAACCAACATCCATGGAGAGCCAGACTGAGAGTAACGCCCACCCCACAGTTGTTCCTGTGTCCAAGGGATGAGGCTTCCTCTCACCTAGTCACAGATTATGCATCGTCCCAACACTGCACTTTCTGAGTGGCGTCAGCATCAGCAAAGGGCTGTAAGGAAGAAGGTGACAGACAGATCTTCTCCCCCTAGCTCTCCTATATCAGCTGCACATCTCTCTTTCTGAGGCCACTGAGAGAAAAATACCTCCCAGGTCAATTGGTAAATAGTTTCAGGAATAAAGTCACGGCACAGGTTGGTGACCGGGTGGCTGCCCTTATTTTAAAAGAGCCAGTTTGGTGTAGTGCTTAAGTGCGCGGACTCTAATCTGGGAGAGCCGGGTTTGAGCATTGCTACTAACTAGGAATATTCCTAACCTTCCGACCCCAAAAGGTGACATTTTCATAAGTTTTTTTTTTAACAGCCCAAAAGAGGACGTACACCAAAAAACAAACAAACAGGGCATTTCCTCTGAAAAAGACGACATCTGGTAACCCTAGTCTTTAAAGGTAAAGGTTCCCTTGCTCGAAAGCCAGTCGAATCCGACTCTAGGGTTGCGGTGCTCATCTCCGTTTCCAAGCTGAAGAGCCAGCGCTGTCCGAAGACGTTTCCGTGGTCATGTGGCCGGCATGACTAAACACCAAGGCGCACGGAACGCTGTTACCTTCCCACCGAAGTGGTACCTATTTATCTACTTGCAATTTCTTGCTTTCGAACTGCTAGGTTGGCAGGAGCTGGAACTAGAGACAGGAGCTCACCCTGTCTTGCGGCACCCCTTCCGACCCCAAAAGGTGACATTTTCATCATTATTTTTTAAACAGCCCAAAAGAGGACGGACAAAAAAAGAAAAAAGAAAAGAGCATTTCCTCTGAAAAAGACAACATCTGGTAACCAGTGTTCCCTCTAAGCTGAGTTAGTGTGAGCTAGCTCCCAGTTTCTTGGCCTCCGGCTCACAGATTTTTGTGTTCGCTCAGGAAGGAGGGCTCCAGAGCAAACGAATTCATGCAGCAGACAAATCGCTCGCTCACAACTTTAATGCCAGGAGCTCACCAAGTAGAATTTTTGCTCACAGGATTCCACAGCTTAGAGGGAGCCTTGCTGGTAACCCTAGTCTTTTTTTTTTTTTGGGGGGGGGGGCTAAAAAAAGGGCTCCCAAATTTATCACGCTTCCCCGGGGGGCCCTTGCGAAAA